CATCCTTAATTTCGTGCAAGCCAACAGGGTTTCCATTTAACATATTGTCCAGTCTAAACCGTTTGGTTCCAAAAGGATGTTTTCCTTTTGTTGCAACATAATAAGCAACCATTCCTGCATTCTAAAATAACAAGAAATGTAACGTTAACAGCAAATATAAACTCTCACAAATTAAATTTCGCTGTGAGTTTTGTAAATGTTAACATTCTTACACTTACATATACATCAGACTCTTTTTTGTAACGTCCTTCATTTAATTCTTCATTACATGCTTCATTTGATTCTTCGTCTTCACAATATGATTCAGGAGGAATCCAATATTCAGTTCCCCTATTAAAGTTGCTTTTGTATGTTTTAGATCCATTCTTCAACATTCGACTAATGCCAAAGTCAGCTATCAGAAATTTGCCGTCTACGTCACGGAGAACATTGGAAGGCTTCAAATCCCGATGAAGAATAGGATCTGGGCCACTATGAAGATCAGCTAATCCATTCAAAATTTGTCTAAGAATATGGGGAAGAGCTTTTTGAAGATCACTTAAATAAGAAGATTTTACAAACTTCTCCAGTGATTCCTCACATAAGTCTAAGATCAAATAAACATAATCTGTTTCAGTATCTTCCTCAAAGAAGTAATAGTTCACAACAAATTTCGACTTTTTTGAATTGAATTCATTTAAAATTTTTTTTTCATGCTTTGCAGGCTGGAGGTAGTTATCTCTACGCATTTGTTTCACTGCTTTACCGTAACCATCCTTTGTCAGTCCAAGATAAACACGGGTTTCATTACTTCTTTGGCCGAGGGAAAATTTCTCCGAGAAAATTACACGTACATTGCCCACATATTTAATGTGTTCTCCGGGATAACACAATTCTGACAACAGACTTCTATGCTGACTTGAATGACCAAGATATTTCCACTCTTGCAACTGCGATTCTTCAAAAGGCATAAAAGTATTACATTCAGAGGTGAGTGCAACAAAACTAATGAAATTCATAAGAATAGGTACCTCAAATTTACTCAAATACACTTAAAATTTGGAAAACGACTTTAAATTTTTGTAAAATCCTAGCACCAATCATTAAAGTTGTCAAAAATTTATTAATCGTGCAAACATATATTTGTTAAGATTAAAGGCAAGCGATACAGAAAAATGTTGTTTTTAATTTAATAAAGCACTTTCGTGTAAACAACGCAATGCTTACAAAGTTATTTTTAGTGTAGAGAAATTAAAGTTTTTGAAGCATGTAGCTATTTCTTATGCTTAAGTATATATTTATAGTGGAAGATATAACTAACGCAAACCATATGAATATATAGTGTTTGTAAGAAAACTGACAAAAAATGAGCATTTTCCTAACTAAAGCGAAGACTTCGTCATTTATGACAATAAACATGTAGAGGTTCCCTTTGTCTTCCTTCATTGTAATTATACACCTCTTATTGTTTGGTTTTTCTCCACCCTTCTTACTATGTACTTAACTGATATTTGCCTTCATCCTATCTACGTAGGCCCATTTCACATGAGACCGGAACGAAGTCAAACCGGAATGAAAATCATAATTTTTTGCAGGTTTACATGGGACCGGCACGAAATTACGAAAAATTCTCATTCGAGTAATTCCTACTTTCCAGGCTAATTTTACGCTTGCTAGCCATTTTCCTTTCGTAATTTGCTTTCGTGCGCATGCGTTGATGCCGTTTTAGACCGGTCGGAACAGTAATTTCAGTTTACAATGATGTCGGTTTCATTTCATACCGTTCTGAACTCAGTTGGATGAGTACAGCAGGCAGTGTGACTTCAGACCGCTCTGAGTTATTTTCGTAACGGTCCTATGTAAACATCAACTGGAAATAATTTTATGACCGATAGAAGCTGGTACCGCGGTTTGAATTTGTTCTGGTCTCATGTAAACACGGCCTTACTCTACTCTATGTCTACCTCTTATTCTTGAAACGTGCTCTTCTTGTGTCTTTTTCATTTAAGTACATACATGCATTCTGTGAATAATATTCATTCCTTATTTCTATGGAGCAAGGTCAACAACATTTAGGACAATCTTGCTGCAAATTACAAGGAAGCTCTGTTTAAAAAACACTAGTAATATTTTGCATGTCACGTGGTACCTAGAAACTCTGAACATTGCGTACATAACCACAGCCACAGTGTAGTGAATTTACAGTAGAGCCACTCCATTGATTTTTTCGTGCAACGCATATCTTATTACCAAAAGGTGTGATAAAACGGCTAACAGCAGCCAATAATTTAATTATATATACAGCAGCATGAAATAACTGTCTCGTTTGTTTTCTCAAATGATGAGGTCAAAATGGACCTTTTCCCCGGAGTATGTTTCTTATTTTATACATGATACTAAATACTATACATTTAGTCAAAAGTGAGGGAAACCAAAACAATAAATCATATAAATTATAATAGCAACTGAAACGATAAGTGACCGCCAACTTCGAGGAAAGTATATGGTAGCTATGCAGGTCGCTTCAGTTCTTTTTTGTTAAAAAAAGGTGATAGATATATCAACTAAAACCATAAAATACTGCTGCTTTTTGTTGTCGATTTAATTCGTCATATTAACCTTTTATGTAGTGAATTTTTTGAAAAATTGCTGGCCTTTTTGTTAAGTGAATGTAACGGATCTGCTTCACTGCAACAAAAAAGGTTAAATCAAGAGAGTACGAACATATTTTCAAATTGAAAAAGTCAAAGGACGTGCGAATAGGTTAAGTGAAGGTCTTCTCGGGCCTTTTAAGTGCCTTAGTATAATTATAGAGCGTTTATATAAATAATCTTTCCAGTTGAAACTACTCTTCAGTTTTTCTATGGTAAGAAATTTTTATTAAGAAAAATAGAATATTCCGTTTGAATCTTATAATTAAATCTCAACACTCATTCTTTATAGAGAGAATAACTACGCTTTAGATATTTTATTTTTATTTTGTAATAAAAATTTTTACAACATATATTTATGGTAGTAATGAATATTTTTTTGCGTAATATTTTTCTAATAAAGTAAATGGTTTGAGCCCGGAGGTATCGTTACATGTTTGCAAATGTAGATCATCCAGGTTGGTATAGTCCTGAGAAGGACTTTTTTTGTTGTTGTTGTTGTTTCTTTTGACTCTGAAGATGACTACCGCCAAGGTTGTCGAAACGTCAGTCAACAACAACAAAAAGAGTCTTTCTCAGAACTATACCAAACTGGACGATTTACATTTACGAACGTGCAATATCTTTTTGAATTCGAATTAAAATAAATAAAGACTGATAAGCAAAGAAATGATTTCAATATTACGTAAAAATATTATGCAATCAAATTGCTATTATACAACGATCACATAATTGAAGTGTAACAAAAATGTGAAAATTCAAGCTAGTATGCTTACCCTTAAGTCCTGGATAGTTTTTCACTTCATCATTTGACCTGACAGCAGCATTAAAATGTTGGACGATACTAGATTGGGGATCATTTGTTTTAGTCGACTGTAGGTTTCCAACTTTACATAAAAATTCAAATCTCTCGTCATCCGACATAAGAAATGGATGTTTCAAGGCTTCGTTGGCAGATGGTCTTTCTTCTGGTTGTAGTTTTAACATCCACGACAGAAGGTCTTTTAATGTTTCATCCTTGATTTCATCCATGCCAACAGGTTTCCCATTCAACATGTTGATCAGTCTGTGTGGTTTAGTTCCAAAAGGATGTTTCCCTTTTGTTGCAACATAATAAGCCACCATTCCTGCATTCTAAAATAGTTAGCCTAAGTTCAAGCCTTTGTTTAAAGAGGATAAACACATAATAGCCAATAAGTAACTAAATTAATTTGTAGACTTCTTAGATGGTGCTAGACTTATATAACACAAGCGATATAATAAATCAAAATTTTAAGTTCATACCATAAAATTATTTATAAAATTTAGAAATTTAGCCTGCAATGCATTAACATAATTGGAGTTCAATTGAACAAAAATAAATTTCTGCATCGTAAATTATAGCTTTCAAGAGACGACAACTTCAGTATATTTAATAACAGGCGGTTGCACAACTTAGTAAGAACAATTTCAGTTTTTCAATTAAAAATGTAACAGTAAGAATCTATTGTCCGAGATTAAATTCATGCGATTAATTTCTTATCTTCAGGTAACTAACTAACTTTTTCCTAGTCTTTTTTCAATTTTGGTACTTTTGCCGAATGTTACTTTTTGCTCATTGGTGTGATCTGTAGCTACTTATTTCCGAAGTTAATTTACCAATCAAAAACGCCTAAATAAGTCTTCGATATACGATGTTAAATAAAAGTTTGGCTGTTCTTCAAATTACATCAGCTCTTTTCTCATTTTCTCAAAACTCCTAAAATAACTTAAGAAAAAGTAATCAAATTGACGATGCAGTAAGTTCCCACACTCACCATTACATCCGACTTTGTTTTGTAACGAGCTTTATCAAACGAATCTTCTTCTTTACAATATGATTCAGGAGCAATCCAAAACTCAGTTCCCACATTAGCCATGGTTTTTATGCCAAAATCAGCTATGAGAAATTTGCCTCGTGAGTCTCGGAGAACATTGGAAGGCTTTAAATTGCGATGAAGAATGGGATGTGGGGCACTATGAAGATAAGCTAATCCTTGCAAAATTGGTCTGAGAATTTCGGGAAGAGATTTTTGAAGATCGGGCAAAGTAGAAGACTTCACAAAACTCTCCAATGATTCCTCACATAAGTCTAATATTAAATAGCCATATTCCGTGTCATTGTCTTCCATTAAGTATGAATAGTTCACAACATATTTCGATCCCTCTGCGTTGAGTTCATTCAAAATTTCCTTTTCTTGACTCGTTAGATCGATGAAGTTATCTCGACGAATTCGTTTCACAGCTTTGCCGTAACCATCGTTTCTCAGTCCAAGATATACAGGTGTTCCATCGTTTCCTCTGCCGATGCAAAACTCGTCTGAGAAAATTACACATACATCGCTAACATAATTAACCTTTCTAAAGGCACTTGCCCTATATTTACACAATTTTAAAAGCATTTTTCTATGCTTTGTTGATTCACCAATGAATTTCCCATCTTGTAACTGCAGTTCTGAAAATGACATAAAAGTACTGCATTATGGAATTTGTGAAACAAATATAATTAACGCCGGGGTTAGAAATCCGACACCGGTTCCCGTGCAGATCATCACCCGTGTTTCCCACACTCACAATAGGGCTAGCATAGGTTTCACATTAAATACCTTAAATAGAAAATAATCAAATACAAATGTGAAAACTAAACATCTCATGTCGGATCCTTAAGCAGGTGCTACACATAACATAGAGCGTTAAGTGAGAGGAGGGGGTGGGGTGTTTATTCATTTATTCATAACTGCTTGACTGATTTGTTTCGTTAGCGACTATAATTTCAAAATAAATCAGCAGGGCAGAGCTGAATATATGGGTATTCATTCCACCACCCCCCCCCCTTAACGTTCTAGTTTCGAACGTGCCCCAGAAGTAGCTCAAATTCACCGAATGCAAAAATATTTTTAAGTGAATGTCGTTCGATTCCCACAGATAGTTTGAGGAAGCCCGAATTGAAATTAACTAATTAGGTTTTATTGTTGATCTCTCTAAAATCACATCATTCACATCACTATTCTTTTACAAAAACAACCCACCGTCATTTTGACATCATCTCTCAATCAAACTTAACATAATAAGTTCCCTGATCTTATAGTTTTTACTGGAATGTGCTAACATTCACGACACACTTCTCCTATTTTAAATGTATGTTAATTAAAATATACTTTTTTTTAATGTTTTCAATCTTTTCTTGTTTACGTAATCGTAGTCAATGAATCGTTAGGAAAAGTGGTCGAGGATCGGAAAACCCATGAATGTAAATTGCTGTAGTCATTACTCTTATCCGAGGAATGCTCCTTGGAAAATTTAACTCACTTGGCAAACTCCTCGAACATTTTTCCTAACGCTTCCTGATACCTTCCGGCAACTGTGCATCCCATGTGATTTTCCGAACACAGCTATCTCGAAAGATTACTTTCCCTATGAGAAGGTACAGATTCTTTAAAGAACCGTTCACTTGGTCATTTGAACTTTTTGTTTTGGTAATGATATAGACAAAGTATCTTCATGCTTGTTCCATACCAGTCCGAGAAATTCAGTTTCTGAACATTTAGTTCCTAAAGTATCTTTAGCATAGTTAGACTACCCGTCCTCTACTTCATCGCGTTCAAGTTCAACTGCACTGGAATGCCATTTGTGCAAAACAAATTGTCCCTTGCTGAGAGTCCGTTTTGATTACTGTTCTATAGTCTCTTCTACTGAATCACCACTCATATTTATATCATCTACGTAAGTCCCGTCAGATAATTCTTTTACACACTTTAGATATTGTTGTGCAAATTTCTCTATGTGAACATTTAAAGTTCCTTCAAATAAAAATGTTCTCGGACGAAGTCTGAACATCGCTCGAGTCATACGATGTACGACCATATCTTTTTGTTGCAAATAATTTATCCAAAAGATTCTCATTACGCCTTGATCAATCTCTCTAATGATTATTTGTAAAAATGCTTGTTTGGTATCGCCTAATAATAGAATCGGTTTCATTCGACTACGCAAGAGTACATCTAAGATTCTTCTCTGCAGTGGTGGTCCAATGTCAAGGCAATCATTCAATGAAGGTGACCTTTCATCGAATTTTTCTGAAATATCATAAACGATCCTTACTTTTGTAGACTCGGCTTTCTCACGTATGAGACAAGTTTTTGCAGAAGATAATGCTCACAGCCTCCTTGTAGTTTACGCGCGACTTTTAACCACTTCTTTATCAAGTTGATTTACTATGATATTGTGACACAAAATAAAGCAAATTCCGAAGAGGGACATCTCATTTTCTTGATATTCAAGATATTAAAAGAGTTTGAAACAAAATAATGTGTAATATTTCGTCTTTATTCAAAAGACATCATCCGACTTATGGTTTACAATGCAGGCTGCGAAACGCTTATATATTTACAAGCGGAAATGACAGTTATGTAATTAGAGAACTATAAGACTAAACAATATACTAACATTAAAATAGAGATAGTTTCTTACAAGCTTTAAGACCACTATTAAGTTGTGGCATATCGCGTTTTATCAAAAGTGCTTCTAAGATGAGAAGTTCATTAGGATTATTATTTTTACAGTGATATAATATTTTGGTGTTACTAGGAATCAAATTACAAGGATTAAGTGGCACGCGTGTGAGATCGGGGTCGGAATCAACGTCAGGAAGTGAGAAAAGGTGTGAGATGTAGTTGGCGTCTGGACAAATGAGTAAATGTTGTGAGATGGCACTAGAATTATTGTAATTAGTAGCATGTTGGGTTAGTCTTGTGTGTAGGTTTCGTTCAGTTTTGCCTATGTATGTATGACCACAGCCTGGACATTTAAATTCATATATAACATTGGCTTTAGAGAGTTCCGGAATTTTGTCCTTTTTGGGACAGAAAATTGATGTCTTTTTTGTTTCATATTTAACTATAGGTTTGATAGGAATTTTTAAGCTGCGGCGAATTTTACGAAGAAGATTGAAAACCAAACGTTCACCCTGTTTGCCTAGATATGATATTCTAATGAAAATTTTATAAAGGTCATTCTCAGTATTTTGTTTAGGGGCGTTATTTTTAGCTATGATTTTGGTTTTGAGTTTATGAATCAAGAATTTTCGGACTGTAAGAGGGAAACCATTCCATGACATAAAAGACTGGAGTGTTTGAATTTGTTTTTTGAATAATGTTTGGTTAGAACAAATCTTAAATGCGCGAAAAAATAGGGAATTGATCCAAGTAGTTTTGCGGTAGAAAGGTTCGAAACTTGAAAAATGTGTATATTGGCCAGTATGAGTTGTTTTACGGAATATATCAATGTCATTATTGGTTATTTTAAGGTCTAGAAAGTTGACATGTGAGTCAGAAAAATCATCAAAAGTAAATTTAAGATTTTTATCAAAATTATTAAATTTGGCAAGAACATGAGGAATGTCAGAATGTCGCATAAGAACAAGAGTATCATCAACATAACGTCGGTAAAACTTAAGGACACCTGAGTTAATCAAATCAGTGACAATAATGTTTTCAAACTCAGTGAGAATTATAGTAGCTAAGACGGGACCGAGAGATGACCCCATGGAAACCCCGTCAAGTTGTTCATAAAAAATACCGTTGCAAGAAAATATAGTTTTGGTGCATGAGTCAATAATAAGTTTTTTGAGTATTGATTTTCGGAGTGTGGCATTAATAATATTTTGTTTGTAAATGCGATCCAGTACAATGTTGATGGTTTTACGCAAAGGCACGTTGGTGAAAAGGGATTCAACATCAAAAGAGACAAACTTATAACCTTGGGAAAATAGATCTTTAGGTATAGATTTAATAGCAACAGTAGCATCGAAAGAGTCTTGTAATGAAAATTTATTTAGGGTGAGTGTATTCAAAAGGTTTGCAATGAATTTGCCTACGTTGTAGTGTGGTGTGTTTGTTGGTGTCAATTATTGGTCGTAACTTAGGTAATGTGTCAAATTGTTTGTGCGTTTTAGGTAGTCCATGTGCTCTGGCAAAGTGCTCGTGAGTAGGTCGTAAGAAAGTATGTTCGGTTTCATTGATCTCCCCCCGTTTTAGAAGTGTGCATAGATGGGACTGTAGAGTGGAGAGTCTACTAGAAGTAAGGTCGCTTGAAATACGCTTAAATTTACAGGGATTTTCGAACAGAGAATTAAGAGAGTTGACATAATCAGAGCGGTTTAATTTGTTTTATTTTGTATTATTTGAAATTGTCTGCTTGTCCTGATGATATTGTGATAGGTTTCCATCATTTCAGGCTGTTTCTCCAATCGGTTTGTCATGGACTTAACCTACGCTTGGCAACCTGAAGTTCCGTTAGCAATTCTGGGTGATTAGCCCTGCACGAGGAGATTTTTCATACTGACCATTTTTTTCGCATCGTAAACTGTTCTTTAAACTCTTGGTACACACTTCCTTAATCCCCTTCTGAACTATCGTCTAAGCCTAACACATCCAAGCTATAAAGTTGCTTCTAATCTTCATCAGGGATTTTTGGCAATTAAGTAGGAAGGGTTTGTCTCTCGTCCCGGTGACACTATCGTCCATCCTAACATCGTTCTCTCAGCAACTGGCGTCCCATCATCCCCAATTCTGGTGTCTTGATTTTGGAGATTGCACTCACCCCAAGAATGAGGTGAACAGGCAAAAGCTGCTTTTCATCATAATCGTGCATGTCTACACCTCTTAAGTGCTCATAATGCTCTATCCACTGTTTATACTTGGGGTTTCGTAAAGTCCTCAATACATTCTTTTCGATTTGATTCACCTCACATGTCATTTTGAATTTTCCCTCTACATATGCTATTTTAACTTGATAAATAATGACCCTTTTAGTAGCTGTTTGAAACATCATTTTGATGGATTTATATTGTTGCCTTATTGGTTCTTCTTTAATTGTATTTACCAACTTGCTTGATGCAAAGGAACTACTAGATCTAGTGTCTAAAAGAGCTCGACATTTATTTTTTTTATTGTTACTACCACAGGTGCATAAACAACATTCTTCAAATTAGGATAACACACCAGTTTTTAATTCTTGTCCTGCTGATCACATATAGAATTATGGTGCTTCCTTTTACAGATATAGCAGTGAATCTGATTCTTACAATTACTTGATCTATGGTTTTCCCCTGTGCAATTATAACAGCGTCGTTTTGCCATTAAGATCTTTTCACGCTCACTGACACTGAAGGCTTTGTCAGATTGTATGGATCTGTGGTCTTTGTTGTGACAGTACACACATTGCCTTGTTTGGACTTTGGTCAATAGTAGTTTTCTTTTTTTTCTTTCAATACACTCTCTCTCTTTCCTCTTTATCAGTTTGTGATAGTGGATTTCATTATATCGAGGCTCTCAAAGCTTCGCAAATGTGAACGTTTCACTTTTCCCAATCCGGTGATGCTCTTAATAAGTCAGCTCGAATGTCCTCCAACTTGCTGTAGTTATTCTCACGTTTCCTGCAACATCTCTCGAGTTCCGAAATATCTTAAGCGCTTGAACATGCCCAAGTATAATATTATAAAAGTTTTTTATCTTATGTTTTAAAAAACCGGTACTAGTTGGCAGGCTAATATTTCGTGTATGCGTGCATTAGCAACTTCACTCGGATCAACATATCTCTCTTTTAAGAACAAAGTTACAGTTTAATCAGAAAAGGAAGCATCATAAAGAAGAAATTCAGCGCATATAAAAATATACGCGAATGAAAAACAAACAAAGAACAAGAGACTTTGATGAAATCACGTTCTAAAGAGCTGCAACGGTACGTCTAAGCCAAAATTATGAAGTATATAGTTAGGAAAGCGAGAGCATGTAGCATGTAAACAGGTATATTTTAATTGTTACATATATAAATACCAATTTGCATCGTGAGTCTTTGATATTACAGCATGCAGCACAAAAACAGATATTGTTGCTAAGCAATATTACTATAAATTTACTTGAACAAAAACTGTAAATCATGTACTAATTGTAATGACGCTGACATTGAAACAAATAAGTGACGATGGGAGTTATATAATTGACGTGTATTGATATTTCTTGATTTCTTACCTGATACAGATGACTTTGATCTTCGAAAAGGTGGACTTTTACGATCCAACTAAAAATGTATTAAAATAGTTTTTTATTATTAATACAATAATGTAATACTGTCATCACACGCACAAGTAATTAAGAACATAAACTTGCTGTGATGCTACATTTATATACATTTGCCTTTCACTCTTAGCAACTGTCCTTTATTTTTGATGAGTTTTGAATCCAGTTGAATCAAGCTTCTCTTGATAATTTTCGGTTGCTTTTTGCAAACTCAAAAATCTGATACAAGTATTCAGACAAAGTGTAATGGTTACATTTATAAAAATTAATCTTTTATATCTGACGTGCCATTAACTTACCTCGAAATAAATAAAGAAAGAAAATACGGCTTTCGTACATATTTTTATCTGTGGCTTTACCATCTATGCTATTTAAGTGCTTATCAAGTTTGTGCATGTCTCAATTGGATTTTAGTTTTGATTGCTCTTCTTGCTTTTATAATTTCAAAAAGTTAATTAGACTTTCATTTTTAGTGTCCAATCTCGTATAAGTCTTTTACAAAAACTCGCTTGATAACAAATAACGTTAGGAGTATGGTCGTCAGCCCTCAGTACTAAATTTTAGTAGCTTTTTGCAAACTTAAATATTAGTTGCAGTAAAGTATTTAGACAGATTCTCATAGAAAATATCCAAAGTCAGCTTGAGTGTTAAAATAGTACACACCGTATGCAATGGCATCAAATCTAAATCATCTTGACCAAGTGACGGGATATCGTACTTGGGGATTCTAAGATCATCTAAAATGGAGTAAAAAAACATGTGACACCAACTTTATTACGCACCATCAGAAAAAAAATTTGGGGTCTGAACGAGCTCATGGAGGTGCAATAACCCACTGTCGGGAAACTTTTGCGCTACAGTTAATTTACAATAACCAATGGAAACCGTATGAACAGACACTGCTTTGACTAGGACTTTTTCGAATATTGATGTGCTCTTTTGCCGATTTTTTGATACAAATATCTTTTTAAATAGGTAAAAATAACAGTAGTTCCGTAAGTGATTGAAGTAGCTTGTAGTGAATGATCTTAATAAAAGTATGGTGATTTTAATGAAAAATTTCCACTTTTGCTGTGCCAAAACGTTAAAACTACTTGAAAATGTAGCTTTATCTTTTGCGCAAAAGTTGAACCTAAATCATCCCTTACCAAAAAGGCATACAATTGTTCGATTGTCAATCAATATTACGTGTGTATCTCTGAGGTGGAAAAGACAGCGAACAAGTTTTTAATTTATTCTTGAAACTCGAAGGTAAAGGAAAATTAAAATAAAAAGCAAAAGAAAACTCAACAACTGCATTGTGCATAGGTAGACGTTCAGAAGATCTTTAAAATGCTACTTTCCATATCTGATGACATGACTGGTAAATAAATGAATGAGTACGAAGTTGCTTTTTAAATTGTTTGACGAATACTTATCCCATATAAAAGACTTTTTGCCACATGAAACAAGAAAACGGGAAAATAACCATCAATTTTTAATAAAACTAAGAGGACAAACGGAGAACTGTAGTTTTGGTGATCAATTATCTAAACAGATTGGAGACCAAGTAAGTGATACATGTCCGTCGTCAGGATTAAAAAGGAAGCGACCATAAACAGTCACGATATGAAACTGAAAGATGTACAACAGATCGATCAACCTATGGAAACCGTCGGCTTTAAAGCTAAAACCATTGAAACGCATAAACTTCATAAGTTATGTTTAAAATGAGGGTTTTCCTTAAACAACATTTGTAACCCATTGTGGTATATTTCATTATAAACGACTTATGTTTGGAATAACATAAACAGCAGATGTGTATCAGTATATTACCAAACAGGTTCTACAGTGATGTGAGGGAGTACAAAATATCAGGGGCGGATCTAGAGTATGTCAAATCCGTCGCGCGACTGATGTTTGAAATTCAAAAATTACCTATTCATATTAATTAAAAATTCATTAATTATTCTTACTTTATTATCGCATTTACTTCGTGATAAAAATCCAGCTTTATTTATTATTGAAAACTAATGACTAATCTTATGAATATCTTGGTAACCAGATAAGTTGAATTTTAATTGACCTGGAATAACCGACTGATAAGCGGGGTGGCTTGACTGGTTCGACGGATAAAGGAGTCTATGAGCGCCATAAACGCTTATTTTATTGGTCAATGGCCAGATCAGTGGACAGTCTGGAATGGTCTCGACTGATAATAAGGGTGGCCGGACGTATAAGGGAGTCCAATTGCTATCTTACAATTGGTTCATTTGAATTATTGTTTTATTGTGATTGGTTTGACGGATTTCGACTGATAGCCAACTGAACTAACATAGTGAAGCTCACTGTCTGAATTGAATGTTTGATCGTTTCATAGTAATTTTTATAAGCATGATAGAAACTAAACTACAATCAGAATGAATTTATGGAAATCTTTTACAAATTCATATATTGACATGAATGCTGCTGTCCAAACTGTGAATTATTTCAAGAGGGCGAAAAATTTATGGATGAATTGTAAATGCTTGGCAAAGACGATCTCGCGAGCGACATTTCAGTCCTTGATGTTAAAAAGCAAGCCAACATTGTTTTGAGTTTTATCAGCAGAAATTTACATCCAAAATCGTAATTAAAGGACAACTGAAGTGTATGCATGAATGTAATATATCAAAGTCAATTTATGCGAGTGTGTGATGCGATTTATGTTAATATGGCGTATGGTAAGCAGATTGATGCTTCTAAAATTGTTGTTGCCGAAGAACTTTTAGCTATGATTTCTTTAGGGGAATCGTGGCCGTTATGTGGCAGCGAAATCCTACATTCCTGCAAATATATTTCACTGGAAAAAAAATCTGTAGCCATAAGGCGCCATACTATTATTTACTTTATCATAAACAAATGTTTGGGGCTTTTCAGTTTATGATCATTGATCATTCAATCATTAGACAGTTATACTACATATTGTTTAAGATTTGAGAAAACTAACATTGATTACATGAGAAGCTGTTTACTATAACCTGTGATTTTGAGTCTTCTGATCCATAAAGCTTTTTATTTTGACAATTTGACTGGAATGGTATTAAGCCTTAGTATTTCACATACATGAAATGTTGTCCCATGTCACATATTGTCCCCTTTTCTAACTGAACACCTCATGTAGAGATGTAAAGGTGTATTAATCTACGGCTCATACCAGATTGTTTGCCATAAATTCCAAAGGGCTATCGATGTATGAAAGCATTTTCTATAAAGTAAAAATGTCTTCCTATGTATGCAGATAAACCTTGAAATTTGGCAAAACAGCAAAGTATTTTTCATGATCACTAGGTAATTTTTCTGATGATCATTTTAGTTTCTAAACTAAATTATTTCAGATTTACATTTAAACGAGCTTTGATCATATGAAAAGATATTTATCATAACCAGTGAGCATGACACGTGAACCAATTTTAACATTCATGTAATTATATAATTAAAGACGTGTTGGTTACATTCTGCTTGTATTTGATAATACAATGCTACTAGTGATTGCTATATAGCACACCTTGCAGAAAATAATAGTCAAGTGAAATGCCTAATAAACATTTATGGCATTAAGCTGTCCTTAACTGCAAATTTTCACCATGATAATTTTTGCTTAATTTTTGGCAGAAAAAAATTTTGAGTTTTTTCTCAAAAGGTGAATTTGCTGGTACTGATGTGGAGATGCGTAAAGGGTTACAATAAACTTGCATGGTTTGAAGTCTGAGCTTTTCTATATCTATGAACTGTCGCTTGTAGTACCAAATTTCTAACTTAACTCATTACATAGAGGTTTGAATGGGGGTCTCTAGGAGGGTCTATGCATGACAACTTGGTAGAATTTTTTAAAGACTATATCTGTTTTTGAATAGCATTATTGTAAAATAAATTTTACGTTCCTAGACATGCTAATGAGCCATATATTTGGCATGATAATGAGCTTAAATATTTGGCAAAACATTCAAGTATTGTTCACTTAATTTTGTTTTTGAAAAAAACGTAAGCAAACGTGTTGTTTTTACGCAAAAACGATCCCCACAAAATACATTTTGTATTGCTCTAAAACGCTGAAAATGGCATTTTGAAGGCTCTGAAATTCAAAATTTCTCAGGTGAGAATGCCTCAGACAATCCCAGGTGCGTAGCGCCTCCGACGTTTTATGACTGATGTTTGAAAAATCCTAGACCCGCCCCTGCAAAATATTATGGATGATAATATTGTTGTTTAATAAATATTATGTTCACAAAATATTATGGATGATAATAACATTA